ACTGAAAAAGAATTTGTTCACATTCTGCTGAAATCTCCCATAGTTTCCTTCAAAATGCCACAAGCCTTTTTTCGAAGTCTCAGCCTGGGCTCAGAGTCAGGGCCAAAGTTCAAACAATATCAAAGTTTATTTTTGACATAAAGGTTTATTTCCTCATGGAATTCTTGAAGGGTTTGCCCCATGTGTGTGAAGCATTGAGACTGGACTGAAAGGAATTTATTTTAGGACCTTGAGCCATCTTTGGCTCACACACTTACTGCCCTAGGAGATGATTGAAGGCCATGTAAGTTTCCAGTTCACCCTTGGATGCCCAGCGCTAGGGTTACATCCCTCCCGCTCAGCGAAGCTCTATTGCCTCTAGGGCAGAAGCATGCACTTTCCTCTCAAATCTTGTAGCACGGATCCACTCAGTGTACCCACTCTTTTCTTTTAACTTTGCATGCTTCATTAATAATTTATCAAATTTTATATTTATTTTGATAAATTGTTAATAATCATTATAGATAAACTCAATCCACAAATCTCTCTCTTTTCAGAGTGTAGCGTTGATTAGCCTTGATACTGTCTGCATTGTTAATTGAATTATAGGCTCTGTCTGACTGAAAATCTGCCAGTTCGATTTCTTTGGACTACTGGGCTACCTATCTAAGAAGAGAGAGTTTAATTTTGTATTCTTAACTGCAGAGCCATGCATTTATACCAAAAAGGGTAAATGACATTTAAAAAGAGAATCGATTCAATCTAGTATTTGCCAATTCTTGTTAATTTCTCTTGGTACAGACACTTAGAACCATAGAACAGAATGTTAGAGTTGGGATTAACGAGCAGCCTTTTCATATCCCTACTGGTTGTATATATATTTTTATTGAGTCTCATGGTAAGAGGGTGTGGGGTGGAAGATATAGTCTTAAAACTTAGCTAAAACACAGTGCAAGCCTATAGTTCCAGCTACTTGGGAGGATTGCTTGAGCCCGGTAGTTCGAGTTGAGTCCGGGCAACATAGCAAGACCTTGTCCCTAAAACCAGAAAACAAACAAACAAACAAACAAAAAAACCACTTAGATAAAACAACTGACTGTAGAGGAATATCAAAGAGAAAGTCCACATCCCTTCTTAGCCACCAAGTTGCTACTATCTGGCGTATTTGAGAGGTAGCAACATGGAGGCAGTTTTCTTGTTTCTCATCCTGAAATAAGACTGAGGGCTGTACTGGGAAGCTGGGTAGGTTACAAGAGGTTTGCTCATAAATTTTCATTTTGCAGCTGTGGAAACTGCCAGCTCAAAGAAGGATAAATGCATATCCTTTGTCACTTATTTATTCTTTCAAGTTCATTTTTATTGAAATTCTAGGTTCTTAGCAGCAGCTAGGAAGGCAGGTTGGGAGATGGGAAGGAACGCAGAGGCCTTACTGGTCTTGAGTGGTCAACGCTCCCACTTCCTCCTGCCTCTCTGGCTACTCTTTCTGTCTCTGTTTCTAACTGAGATCCATACCTGATTCCACAGGTGCTTAAGCTTAGGCTCAGATTGCAACTCCCAAATCTGGTGTCAGGATGAACTGCTGCAGGCCTGGAGCATGGGAGTTGGCGGGTGCGTGAGAAGCATCCAGCACTTTCAGGTCTGGTTTGGCTGTCAAGGGTCTCCCCATCTCTTCTTTGCACCTTCATTTTCTCTCTCTCCTTCTGAATGTGAAATGCCAAGGTTTATAGGCAAATCAAAGCAAATGTTGAATTCACGGAGCACTATCTGGCTACTTGGCCCTGGAGATATGACTGCAGGTGGGGCATAGCAGCCTTGGTCTCCACATGAAAAGTTCTTAAGCACTTCCTTCCTTGTGTCAGGCAATGTTCTACTCCAGAATCCACAATGACTCTCTGCAGACCCTTCGGCTGAGTTAAATTCTTTAGTAAGGCTCTTCATATCTTGCTCTGCCTATAATCCTCCATTTATTCATTCATTCAGCAGGCATTTTCAGAGTACCTATTGTGTACCCATCACTGGGCTTGGCACTGGGCATACAGCAGTGAACAAAACAGATGTGGTTCCTGCTCCCATGCAGCTAAAAATTGTGTGGGGTAGACAATATTATCACAAAGGAATATTAGTATTACTATTAAACAAGGATGTTCATATCAACCTACAGTACACTGTGCCAGATGCTGTGCTAGAGGGTGACGTGGGAGCATAGGAGAGGACACTTTACTCCAGCTGCTTTCCTGCCCAGCCAGCTTGGCCGGAGCACGGTATTTCAAGAACTCTAACTTTCCCTCCACATACCAGAGCCTGGCTCCCTGCACTACTTCCTCTGAGGCTTTCTGCATCTCTGCCCACCTCTTGAACCCAAGACCTTTCCTGTTGGGAAGAGACTAGATAAGAAGCAAGGTGACAACTTACATTCCCTTGGCTTCTTCCATCATACGTGCAGATCCACTCTAGTCCTGGCAAGGGAGGAGGAGCTCTGCTGTGAAGTGACTCCGTTGCAAGTACTTGATGTTTCCTTGACGAAAGCCAGGGCCATCTCATTGATGAGGCTGGAGTGAAAAGACTAGGCTGGGGAAAAGGGGGTCGGGCCAAAGCTGGTTTGCTTGGAATTGGGCTTGTTATTATAGATCTCTGAAAGATTCATCAGCTTCAAGAATCAGAGTAGTGAGGGAGACTCAGCGACCAGGCCCAGCCCAGGCCTGCTGTGCTCAGACAGTAAAGCTCTGACCACACAGTCTCCTTCAATCTGCTCGTACCTCATTTCTTCTCCTCCAGAGCAGAGATCAGTCTAAACAGCTCATAGGTCAAGGAAAAGTATCCCTGGAGAGTCCAGCCAAGTCCCTGCTTCCTGCCAGTTGCTCTCTTGGCTCAGGTTTGAGTTTGCCAAATAGAGAATTCGGGATTTTTATTCTGCAACTGGATTTTACAGTTCAGAAAGGGTACAAGTCTTTTGCCAATTTGTTGATTCTTATTTTAATCAGAACCCAACTTTTCTAATATCCATGTTCTAATTTACTAAACAAGAAGCAACTATATACTGAAAAGGGAAATCGGATTACACTTTTACTTCATTTTTAATTGACAAATAATTATATACATTTATGGAGCATGATGTGACGTTTGATGTATATATATTAACACATTGTGGAATGATTAAATGAAGCTAGTTAACATATCCATCACCTCACATATTTACCATTTTTCTGTGGCGTGAACATTTAGAATCTATTGGCAATTTTGAAATATACTAGTTGTAGAGCCTTCTTGAACTGGTTAGGGGACAATTAATTATCTGAAGGAATGCATGAAAACAAGCCACGCTCAGAATCATTAATGTAGATGCAGGTATTCTGTTCAAAGTGTTTTACTCGCCAGTGTGGTGGCTCATGCCTGCAATCCCAGTGCTTTGGGAGGCTGAGGCAGGAGGATTGCTTGGGGCCAAGGAGTTTAAGGCCAGCCTGGGAAACATAGGGAAATTCCGTCTCTTCAAAAAATAAAAACTAAATTAGCAGGTGTGGTGGCACGTGCCCTAGCTACTCAGGAGGCTGAGACCGGAGGATCTCCTGAGCCCAGAGTGAATTCAAAGCTGCAGTGAGCTGTGACCACACCACTGCACTCCAGCCACGGTGACAGTGGTAGATCTTGTCTCTTTAAAAAAAAAATTGTTTTGCTAATAGATTATAAAGGATTATAAGGATGTGAACATTTGTAAGAGGAAAAATGAGAAGAGAATGAAGAGAAGGAAGAAACTGAAGCACACCAAAGTCAAAGAGGTGGGTTAGAGGAGAGTCAGATGGAAGCTCAGTGTGTTGAAAATAAGCATTATGAGTGGAAAGGTCCTAAGTGCACGAGGACATATGCTCAGGTACTCTGGTTTTCTGAGGACAACAATGTGCCCCCTCTTTTCTGCCTTCTGGAATGGAGAGAAATCAGGCCGTGACCACAGGGCTGCCCGCACTGAAAGCACATCTCCGCTCCTGTAACCCATCCCAGCAGCTCAGCCTGGCCAGGGATAGAGCCTATCCCAGCTGGCGGACCCTACCAGAAGGAGGCGTCCCTGGGCTCTCTTTTTGCATAAACTGGAGTAGTGTCTCTCTATCTGAATTGAATCTATTGTTCCAGAAAATGGGTTTGTTTCTATTCATCCACTCCAATGGCTTTACAGTGTCCAGGCACTGTGGGACTCCCTAGAGACATTGTCTTCCTGAACAGTCGAATAAGATATTTGGTTCTTCGGTCCTTATTTCCAAGCTCCTGGGTGCTAGAAGGTTGCATTCACAGCCTAGTCTAGCTCGTGTGTGGCACCGAGTACATTTGGGAAAGGAAAGCTAGATCAATGAAGTCAAACTATTCGGTCGGTCTTCGCTGGTTACCCGCTGGTGTGGGCGCGGGTGTGCTTGAATTTTTGTTTTCGTTTTTGTTTTTTTGGTAATTATGAAGAAAAAGTTTAAGTTAAAAAAAAAAGGCAGAAAATAACTTCAACCATCAGAACTGGGAGTGGAGCTCCTCATGAGGACCGGGGCACACATCCTATACCGTACCTCACGTCCCCTCTCACGCAGACATTCCTTCTTTCACGCTCCAGCTCGCTCTTTTTACTCCTACTTCCCTTTCCCCCTCTCCCGGATCAAGCGTTAATCTGCGAATCTCTGACCGCAGAAGAAAAAAAAAAAGGTGGGTGGGGGGATCCCGAAGTAGCAGAGCTAGGAGGAGGAGGAGAAAAGAGGGGAGGAGGAGGAGGAGGAGGAGGAGGAGGAGGAGCCCGGCGAAGCAGAGTCAGAGGGACTGGTGGCTCCGGCGAGTGTGCAGCCCCGGGGGAGCCGGCGCTCTAGGCGAGGAGCCCGTCAGTCAGCCTACCCGCCCGTCGTCTTTGGCGCCCGCACGCTCTCCGGCCCGCGCCCAGGGGCCTGCTACACCCGGAGGTGGGGCCGCCTCTCAGGGGCGCTCGGGCCAGGGGCGCCGTTTGGGGTGAGTCCGCCGCGCCGCCAAGCTGGTCCCCTGCGCCCGCGCCCGCGGCCGGGATGCCGTTCTACAGGCGCACGGTGGTACCCCAGCGCCTGTGCCCGCGCAACCCGCCGCAGCAACTGGCGGAGCTAAGCGACGTGAGCCACCTGGCCGCGCTCAGCCTCCTCCGGCAGCTCGCCGACCTCTGTGGCCACTCGTTGGCTCTGCTCGAGGACCTCGAGGGGCACCTGCTGGCCCTGGGGCGCCGCACAGACAGCCTGTACCGGCGCACCGTGCGCCTCCGCCGCCGCCTTCCCTGCCGCCTGCTTGGCCCGGAGGAGGACGAGGAAGAGCTAGGTAAAAACGGCGCCCCGGTGGCTCGCGGCCCCGCGTCTACCCCGCCTCTGGGGGCGCCGGTCGGCGCTTAGCGCTGTGCCCACCCTCTCCCCGCCTCTCTCCGCCCCTCCCCTCCCCTCCCCTCCATTCGGGGAGTGAGGGGATCCCATTTCCCCGACCCCCGCCTCCGCCCCGCCTCCGCCCCACCGCCGCCCTACCGCTGGAACTTCCTGCTCTTCACCCGGTCGCGCCGTCCGGAGTGGCCCCGTGCCCTTGGGACTCCCGGCCCTGGGGTTGGTGGCCGCCTCCTGGGGATCTGGGTGGTGGGGGACCCGCTGGGTCCAGGACGGCCTGGGCGATACTCCCCCCACCCGCCCACCTAGCCCCAGGTCCTCGGCGCCCCCCTCATCATCGCCGCGTCGGAAGCCAAATAGCCGAGCCGCTGGCTTCTTTGCTCCTGTCTAGGAGCTCGGCCACTTCAGAAAGCGCGCCGGAGCTGACCGCCACCTACGCGGCGGCAGGAACCGGCGGTGGTGCCTACTGGCTTTAAACCTGTGCAACTTCCCGCTGGAGCGTGGACGCGGCTCGCACTCATAGGAGTGACTGAGCGCCCTCCCGCCTGCTTCTCTCCGCACGTTTTGGGCAGCTGTGCTGGGGAGTGGCCGGGAGGGGGGGAGGGGAGAATGTCCGGGGTTTCGCTGACCCCCTACCCCCTACCGCTAGGGTCCAGCTGCTATTTGCTGGAGAGAATCATTTAAAGAAGTTATTATCAGTTTCCTGAAGTGCATTCACTTTAGGAATCAGCCATGCCTGAGAAACACCGGATCCCAGTGGTGCCCTCACTGAGCACGCGGGACGTGTGAGAGGGTAGGGGGCTACAAGAGCCCTTGTCCTTTACTGTTTTGGATCCCAACACTTTACATGGGGAATCCTCTGTCTGTGGAAATGCAGTGCCCCTGAGAGTGTGGGCTTCTGTTCTGAGAGCGAGCTTCTGCTGAAAGCAAGGGGACTGAGTAGGCTGGAAATGCTGACTACAGCTGGGGCATGCCAGGTACCAGGGCCAATCGGTTCCCCCAGAAAGCTGGGGAGAGAAGTAGCAGTGTGGCCAGAAAGTTTCTGGTGGAGGCAGAAGATGACTACTGGCTGATTTCTGAGTGCAAGCCTCCAGCTAACTTGGGAAAGAAATGCCTGGGTCAGCCCCTCTTCATTACACACCCCACCCCATCCCCACCCCTTCCAGAAGTACTGGAGTCAGGCCCTGGCACCTCTCTTCATAAAGGTCTCTGACCTCTGAGGTGGATGGCAGAGGCCTCTGGTGGAGATAAATGAACTGGATCCTATTAGAAAAGAAAGGTGGAAGCCACAGATGACTGCCAGATGGTATGTAGACACTGGACCAGGAACCTCTGCATGGCAGGGGCTCAGTTTTTTGCTGGGGTCCCACTGATTACAGGATTAGTCTAGGGGAAATTTGATAAGTCAGCTTGAGGATTAGTTTTCAAAATCCCTACACAGTTTGCAGAGAGCCACCTACTGAGTTCAGTAGGGTAAGTTAAGGACAGTTTTTTCAACTCTACCTTCCTGTCCACTGAATTAGCGAGCCCTTTCTGTGGGATGGAAGGCAAGGCTTCACCAAGTCACCTTTGGGACCTAACCCTCTCCAGTGATCTGCTAGGTTAGAAAGAGATGGCTTTATGCAATGGATAGCTTGCAATGGGGAGAAACAATTGTTAAGTTAAATTACCATTGGTTTGGCTTCTTGGCAGTTTTCAAGAATGGGAAGAGTGGCCATCTCTCATCCCTGGTGTGGCCTCTTGCCTTTGAGAATGTACGTGTCCCACGGCTCAGAGGCACCCAAGGGACTGCTGCATAAATGGAACACAACTACCTTCTGTAAGTTGGTGAAAAGGTCTGATTTTCCATTTTCTGGTCTAATGCCCTACCCTAGACTCCCCTTGAAGTTCTCAGTGCACACTTTTCTCTTCAGGAGCTGTGATTGGGTAGCACTGAAATTAGGCCTTCTCAGCAATGGTCTGAACATAAGTGCCAAATGCAAAAAGAGTTGGGGAGCATAATCAGTGCACCATCTGGCCACTCCCTTGTTGCTCAGGCATAAGCTTCAACAGGGTGTTCAGCAAGCTGAATATTAGATTTTGACCGTAAATAAGTAAATAAATGAACATTGTCATGTCTTGCCCTTTTTTCTTCCCTATGCGTTTTCCTCCTAGGACTCCCACTCCCTTACTGACCATTTTGCTGGGGGTCAGCATTTTACCCTGCATATCCTCCATCTGTCTGGATTTCCCTCAGATTCTTCCTCTAGCTATTTATTCTGACCATGGGGCAGGAGAAACCTGGGAAGGTGGGAGGAAGGTTGGAAAGCAACATGGCCAGAGTGAATGACAGCTGACAGGCCAGCAGCATATAGCCTCCCTGCAGTGACAACTTGGCTGCCACTGACTGAGTAGTGGCAAGTCAGACTGGCCCATAGCCTGCAGGCTGGGCTGAGGCCCTGAGAAGCAGCAGGGGGAGGATCAAGAGAGGAGGATCGAGATGGAGGAGGAGAAAGTGGATGCTGGAGAAGTTCAAGGTGCTTCTCTACACAATCACAATCATGGGTCATGCCCCCACCATCTTCAAGGTTACAGGGGTGGACTGGGCTAGGCTCGTTGCCTGGCAACATCCCCCCCCCCACTCCACTGAAGGCTGTTCTTTGGTAACTTGAACCCCTTTGAGACTGCCCTAAAAGCTCTTGTAACTGGTATGGTGAGAGGGATGGGGATGGAAGGAGGAGAGGGTAGACCACAGGACTGCAGAAGGCCCCTGTGGTTGTGGATCTGTGGCACTTGCCACACCCTAGGCATGGCCCTGCCTATAAGTTGAAGTTTTCCCCACATCTGGTTTTGAATGTGTCCTGTTTTATTGCATCTGTGGTCTGTACGCTGGGTTCTTCATCTAAAAAGTGGTATAGTCAAAGCCATTGGGAAATAGCTCCATGCCTGCCACCATATGCTGAGTCAATCTAAGCTTTCCAACTCCTCCCTTGGAGATCTATATAATGTTTGTAGGTGCTTAGATGGTAATTACAAAAGCAATCAGGCCATCCGCCTAGGGATATAATATCTCCTTTGCCATCAAGGAAGTCACCGAAGGGCTAGATAATTCTAGGTATGTTTAACAACACTGGAGAACTATCATGTTACACCAGCTCATGAACTTGCTGTGGGAAAGATGTTCTGTTGCTTCTTACGATTATTCTGGCTTGAATACAGCCAGTTGGGTCCATGGTGGAAACTCCCTCTTCATCTTTATGTAAAATTCCTACCTCTTGATTTTCCAACTTTATGGCAACTCTGGCTCCAAATCAGAAAGGACAGCTGGTTTATTTGTGTTTAAATCATAATTCCAGTGTGAGGATAGACTGTTGTAAATCTATACGGAGATGAAAAAATGAAAAAAAGCACCTCCGGACTGCAACAAATTTGCCATTAGACGAGGTATTGTGGACCCTGAGTCTGACCGTCCTTGCTAATGAGGAGAAGAGATGGCCTCTTGAGTCAGATGGAGTGGGGAGGGTGGCAGGAATTTGGGGACTTGGAACAGGCACTCAGCCAGGGCTTACTTTGTCTCTGTCCTACCTTTCATCCCCAGAGGCTCTTGGGACAGAGAGTTGACAGAGTACGGAGGGGGAAGCAAACCCATTTTCTTTTCTCTTCCCACTCCACCCCACTTTCCATTTTCTTTTTAAATACCATGAAATTCCTGGTGTGCTTCATGGTATTTCCATGTGTTGAAAACATCTTCCCTGGAAATTTGGATACCAAAATGTCCACTAGAATTTCTTCCACTTTAGAAAAAAGAAATTTAATCCTCTCTTTTTTTAGAATCTAGTAAATCTAGATTCATGAACAGCTAAAGTGATAAAAGTGTCAGGATGTTGGAATAGTAGAGTAATAGGAGAAGATTCAACTTATGGCTCTTGGGCTCAACCTTGACCTTGATGAAACTGATTAGGTTTAAGGAGGAGAGTGGTACGTTTGCATCATCTGTTCCTGTACCTCTCTGGTGTGGTACCAACAATTCAGTCATTAACCACCATATGTGTCATAACACTTGACATTCCAGACCCAGAAAGGGGATGGTACCTGTCCAAAGGCACCCAGCTGGATCAAGACCTTCAGTAGTCATGAGTGCTGAAAAAATTTTAGTGCCTCCCCATATGTAATTCCAAGTGAAAGCAATACTAAACCTGTAAATAAAAATGTTACTCTTTTTAAATGACTCAAAGCTCACATGGATGTTGAAATTAAAATATCTTACTAGATTCTTTCTCTCTTCCTCTCTGTCTTTTGTACCCCTGCTGTTGGTGGCCTAATCATGTATTTAATCTGCTGATATGGGAATGTGGTACCAGCTGGGTCACACAGGAGGTCCGTGACAGGAGGCCTTCACCTAGAAGCCATGCCTTCTGACAACCAGACTAGTGCTCTGCCCTCTCAGTGATGCTAAGTTCAAAGTCAGTTGTTCTTCGAGAGTCACTGTCTTGGCATTTTCTCTAGTTGGAACTTGTCCAGGATGAGAAATAACTCCTGTTACCTTTAGTAACTGAGGGCACCCTGTGGTTCTGTAGTTGTGGCCGGGGGTGAGCTGAAGCTGGAGAGGAGAAAGGAAGGTCAAACTTATGTCTTATAGAGAATAGGTGTGAGGCAACAGGCTCTCTTGTTAAAGCAAAACATAGTCTTCTTTGGATGGAAAATTGCTCCAGAAAAATGATCTTCAGGTGGGAAGGGGTGGCTGGATAGTGACCCTGACACTGCCGCAATCCCTCTTGATCCTTCTGCCATCTTTATACCTGTTCTTCTCCCTTGTAGCTTTCAATCCACTTGTGGACACTACTTGCCACACACCTGCATCCGGACTATTTTCTGTTATTCTTGTAGAGGCTAGTTGGCATTTCAGAAGGCACCTTTTATTAAAAACCAATGGGAACAGGAAAGTAAAATGATTGCCAAAAATGCATT